CACCTACAACTACGCCGCCGCCGCCAGCTCCAGCAGCTGGGAGACGCCCAAAGCTTCGGAGCTGAGCATGAACACCGACGTCGGCGCCGCGCTGCCCGTCCCCTCCTACGGCGCCGAGACGGCGGCCAACGAGAACTCGGATTCCATCATCGCCAAGATCAACCAGCGGCTGGACATGCTGTCCAAGGAGGGCAGCGGTGGGACAGGGGACGGGATGAAGACCAGGAGAGGTGACTGTTCCACTTCTTATTTCTTTTGAATCCTAAAAAAAAAACCCATGGCTTTTAATCCCGATAGCTTCAGATCAAGCTGTTGCGATCGTGCCTATGGAATTAGATGTTTGTTTCCCAAAAAATGAGCTTGACTGATGATTTTTTCACCTGCACGTACACGCACGTTTTTTTTTCCACACCTCAAACACATCGAGCTGGACGTACACACCAACCATTGAAAGCAGCTCCCGTTGTCAATTTATTTCCCAGATTTTCCAGAAGGTTTTTATTTATAGATTTTGGGTTTCTTGAAGGATTTTTGCCCTGTGTCCCTTTTTCCTCATGGCTGCCCGGTCATTTATTCTTTTTTTGTTTTTTTTTTGCCCTCCGGCCGGGTTCAGTGGCCCCGATCTGGAGGGTTATTTCCTATCCGTGTGTGTTTTGCTGCTGGAATAATAGCACAGATCTTGAGGAGAGTTCTGGAATAACCAGAGTTTTGCCTTTTTTGTTGCCATCCATCGCCCACTGCTGCGGCCGGGCGCGATGCCGAGGGGTTTATTCCATTAATTCACACCCCGGGGCACAGCAAAGGACAACGAGAAGCAGCTTTTCCCTGGGGAAGCTTTTGGGATCGGCTTTTCCGCCGTGGAAACACAATTCGGAGTGGTTTAGTGGTGTCAAGTTAGTAAATCCCTGAAGGATTTCTGCTCGGATACTTGTGCGGAAAACCACAGTTCTTGGAGATGTCCATATTTTCCCCTAGAGTCAGGAAAAGGTGGAGTGGGACACCGAAAGCGATCGGCGCGCAGGGCGTAAAACCGTTTTGATCCCGTTTTATTGGCCAAACCCGTTTGGATCGTGGTTAAAACCAGTGGCAGACACCAGTACGGTGTGTCCGGGTGTGGTTTTTGGTGCTGACTGTTCCCTCCTCCGCAGCTCCTTCAGGTTCGAGTCCTTCGAATCCTACGACTCCAGGTCTTCCCTGAACGACCGCGACATGTACCACTCCGGCTACGACTACGGAGACGTCGGGACCGACCGCAACGATTCTTTCGGGAGCCAGTTCGATAACCGCAGGGATCAGTCTCGGAACCGCGGCAACAACTACGGCCTCGTGCGGGGCCGGGGGCAGAACCGCGTGCAGAACCGCGGGCGGCTGAACGCTTTCCACCGCGCCGACCACTTCATGCCCTCCTCCAGCTCCGAGCGCCTCTCGGCTCGTTGGAACGAGCTGAACTACATGGGTGGGCGTGGGATGGGGGGTGCCGGATCCAACAGGCTCCCTTCCCTCTTCTCCCAAGCCCTCGTTCCCGACTACGGCGACTACGGGGATTACGGCGACTACGGCGACTACGGGGATTACGGCGATTACGGCGACTACGGCGATTACGGTGACTACGGAGACTATGACTATGGCATGATGGGGATGTCGGGCATGGGAATGGGACGGTATGGGAATGTGCCGTACGGAATGGGGAGGCAACGGAACAGAGACAGGATGGGTACGGTGCCCTGGCACATGAACGCGCTCACGGTAAGTCGTCGCCGTCCGTTATTTTATTCCTTTGCTTTTCCCTCGGCTCGGCGGGTGGGTTTCCCTGTTCGGCTGGAGTAGAGAAATTAATTCCCGGTGCTGCCACCACGGAATAATTTAATCCTTCCTGGAGAGAGCAGAGCATCACCGAGCTCATCCGTGCCTATTTTGGCACGGAAAATAGAGCCCCTCAATGCTCATCCCATCCCAAATCCGCTCTCCAGGAGCACCGACCCCGCTGTAAAATCCCTTTGCAGCCAAAAATAAATCCGGAAGGTCACAAGAACTGAAACTTTTTAGGAGATGTAGCAGATGGGTGGGATACTTTGATTTTTAAGCTTTTTTTTTTTGATGCTTAGAGTTGAATGATGACGACTTGATTTCTTCCCGCTTCAGCCCAAGAGAAGAGGTTTCCGGAACCGTTCCGGAGGGCGGTCGGACGGCGAGGGAGGGCGCAAACGGAAACAGTCGCAGAGCGGAGACGAGCCCGACAGCAAACAGGCGAAGACCGACAGCGAAGGAGACGACACCGAGAACGGTACGAGCCGTCCTCACCCACTGATATCCATCGGTTTTCCCGGTTTTTAAGCATTTTATCCTTCAGCCGAAAAAATTATTGTTTTTTTTTAACTCCTGCATGTTGTTAAAATTCTCCTGCGAGTGCTCAGGGTTTAGAATTTGGATATTTTGAGGCCCCCCAGGACCAAATCTAACACTTGAGGCGACTGTCGTGAAAGTAAGGACCGAGTTTGCAGCCGAGAGAGAAACCAGGGAGCTTTTTGTGATCCACACTGGAATTTTGAGCCGTCAGCGCAGTAATCCGGGATTTCTCAGGGACCCCTTGGGGCCCCGACACCCGTTAAATGATTTTTTTCTTTTGTGCAGCAGATGAGGGGGAAGGAGAGGAGAAATCGGGAGATGAAGCAGACAAAGGTGTAAGTAACCTTTTTTTTTCCTCGGTCTTTGTGGGAAATATGGGAATATTTGAGCCCTGAGTGGAATATT